TAAAAGCCAAACCAAACAAAACAAAACAAAAACAATACGTCCCACTCCTAGGTAGGGTCATAGAGGGTGAGATGTGAGCAGACCTTACCCCTTCCCCTAGGAGTAGAGAAGTTGTTGCTTTGAGGATACTTAAAAAAAAAAAGCAATATACTGATATATGACCCATGATTTTTTTAAAGAAAGTAGAACATTCTTGTCTGATACAGATTAAGGGCTGTAATTTAAAATAGACTCAGAGGTAGCCTTTTCATCTGGAACAAGTAAAACCCATATGAAATCATTAATCTGTAAGATTAAACTGCATTATTAGAAGAAATTGCAAGTTTGTACCAGCCTTCTTCTGAATAGAAAAAACAATCGAGTTCAAAATCTGCTTCGGTTGCAGGTTGTATGAATATATATCAATTGATTTACCCTATTATGTAACCAATCGGCTCAACACAAAGTTCTATTATATTATAAGTACGAAAACAACTGTTTTTTCCATTTCCTATATTTACTCCTTTCTTGCATTCGTGTTACTACAGTGCAGAGGTTTTTATTCCTCAACATGTATAGAGATTAAGTAGCTAGCAGGGAATAAAATGATTGATCAGGACACTGACCTGGACTGAACTAAATATTTTGGCACATTAGACATGCTTTCCATGCCACCAGCCACCACAACATCATTGAGACCAGATGTAATACTAAGGGCAGCAATCATTATTGCTGAGATAAATAATAGCATGTTAGGACAAAACAGCTACCAGTAAATAAAGACACCAATATGTTCTTGCAAAAAACAAACCCTTTAATCCTGATGAGCACACTTTGTTAATGGTTGTGCAAACAGCAGAATTAGGTATCCCAGCACCTAAAGCAGCCTGCCTAGCAGGGGCTTGTCCTAAATTTGCACTGAGAACATTTCCAAAGAATACCTCTTGAACTTGTAAGGGATCAACGCTTGCCCTCTCAAGAGCACCTAGGACAATGTGGGTATTTGAACTAACATTAAAGGCTTAAAGAATGGCTATTAAAGAACAAAGAAGATTAAGCATGGCATCCTACAATCTTACTCTTAATAGCTATAGAACCAAGCTTTGTCGCGGATAAAGATGAGATTGTACCAAGCAAGCCACCCATTGGTGTTCGAGCAACACCAACAATGCATACATCTGGAATTTAACAACTAGAACGTTTGAAACCTTTCGGTTAAATATAAAATAGTAAATCAACATATAAAATCTTAAATTGCTCCTCCTATCGAGTTAATATGTTAAGATGGAACGATATATTTAAGAGTTTTGTCTGATTGTATTTGTTAGTTTGTTTTGCACTAATTGTTTGGGGTATCCTATTGGCGTTGGTTTGACTCATTTATTCACCTCAAGTTATCCAACCCGGTTGACCAAGGGAAGTGTTAACTATATCTAAGAACTAATGTGAAGTTTTCTTTTTCCAGTCTGTGAAATGAAAAGCAAATAAACTAATGAATTAATAAATAAACAAACAAAGTTAAAATACTTCAAAACAAATAAACTACTATGTGTATATTAGGAAGTCCATATTTGACAGGAGCTTGAAATTGACGTTGTCAAAGTGGGCAAAAGATTCATCAAAATAAGTTCAAGAGATTCCTCAAAAATTCAAAATAAATTTAAAACCTCGGGGCTTAATTGAATTGTCTGATCTTGATGCCATGAACTGTCCTCAAGTAATCTGAAGGAAGCAACAACAAGATTAAAGTTGAAACCAAAATCAGAATTACAAAAAAGGGACGGAAGGGTTAAAGGAATGAAATTTAACATTTACCAATAATCAACAAGTTGGAATAGTACGGTAAGAAAGATTCAAGAGATAATGAAATATGGGAACGAGGTGGAATTTAGCTGGTACAAAGTAGAAACTTCAGCTGCCCAGTGCTCCAGTTGAATCAAATACCTCGATCCTGGAACCTAAATAACCAATTCAGTGGAAATTGAGTATGGATACTTTCATTTTTGTTGGCGCTATTCTCATCTCCAAAGCTATCTTGTTTTGGTCGCCTAATCTGTCGAAATTCTCACCCGTGCCGAGTGCATCCCACGGACATAGATTATTTGTTAACGATAGGGAGTACTCCGTGCCGAGTGCATCCCATGTCCAATCGTTTAATTTGTCCCACATGAAAACGACCAAAGCAGATCAGATCAGACCAGAACAGACCAAAACAAATCAGATCAGACCAAAACAAATCAGATTTTATTATTATTATTATTACTATTATTATTATTATTATTACTATTATTGTTGTTATTGTTGTTGTTGTTGTTATTATTAGTATTATTACTATTATTACTATTATTATTACTATTACTATTGTTATTATTATAACACATGATATAACAACGATAACACGAGATGTTTGTAAAAGATAACAATCCACATAATTTTAGACCAAACAAACATCGAAAAAGTTCAAAACGAATAGACAAAAATTTAGCATGTTGAAAATAAATATCACACATCATAAGTAAGATATGCAGCCCTCGGGATATAACAATCTTGATTGTCGTAAGGAACTCCTTTCTGTAGAAACATCCACCTCTGATTTTCAGATCGAAGTGTCACAAAGACCTCACCCTTATTACCTTCACTTAAGAAGGTCATAGCATCCACATAATATTGATCACTGTATTTCTTGTCAACCTCCATCTCATCAAGAAGTTTAGCCGCCTTTTCGATCACATATCGCTCTTTTGCAGAAGCAAGCTTCACGGTTTCTAAACATCTATGTATTTCCCCTCGCTTTCGTGTTAAGCTTTCACCGACGTTGTTTTTTCCCTTTCGCTTCTTAGTTGATGCGGATGATTGATCTACCATGATAGGTGAATCACTTTTTTCACCATAAACTGTATCATGACTTTCATTTTCATTCAAAATATCACTACCGGTATCAAAAGATTCTTCGGTGTTTATGTTCTGAGTCTTTTGGACCGCGACATTACTATTGAGAATGGGTGTTGTCCTAGCGCTAGCAGGTGAGCTACCTCGTACACCATGTGCAGTCTGTCCTTAGAATAAAGCTTCTAGGTACTGAAGATATGGCATCTGCTTCTTAGCAACCACAGCTCCATGTTGCTTATGTTTCTAAAAGATATTTATATTTATATTTATTAATACAATTAATAATATTAGTAAATAACTTTTATTTAGAGAATAGAATTTGAAATTAAAGAAAAAGGCAAGTGCATTTTTACCTCTTGATATGATTTCCATCTATCTAAGGAACGTTCTTCTACTTGAACCTCACTCGTAACTGGATCAAAATTTATGCATAGTTTATTAAGTCATGTACAATCATGTACGTATATATGTGGTATGATGCTGTGAAATTCAATTTGAAGAGAATTGAAATTGAGAGCATGCAATCATGGTGAAAGACACTTAGGATGTTTTTACTTGGACTGTAATTTGCTGGTCTGGTCTGGTCTGATCTGATCTCATCTGGTCTGGTCTGGTCTGATTTCTTTGTATTTTTATAACTATCCAAGTCTGGTCTAGTCTGGTCTGATCTGGTCTGGTCTGGTCTGGTTTGGGAGGAATTACAGTCCAAGTAAAAACATCCTTACATGAAGAGAGATGATATGGTGAAAGCCAACGTAGAGAAGCTGCACACTGCTAGGGATCGTACGTAAGTTCCTACCCTTGCAATAATTTATATATCAACCATTCTTGATGTACACACCCTTGTACATACCTTGTACACACCATGTTTGTGAAGCTTTTTTTTGTCTGTGAATCCGGTTCACAGACAATATTTTGTTTGTGCAAAACATTGTCTGTGAATCGATGTTCACAGACAAAAAAAAGCTTTCACAGACATAGGTGTGAACAAAAACGTGTATAAAAGTGTGTACAAACATCATTTTTCTTTATATATACGTGTGACTATGTGAGTATATTGGGCCAATTGCCTAATTTTATCTTTTGTCCTGTTTTTATTTGGACGAGTCCAGTGTGGTTTGATATGGCCTGGTCTAGTTTGAGTTGTTCTGTATTTGTATGATCTGGTCTGATCTGCTTCGGTCTGAGATTGAAATCAATCCAATTAAAACGATAACAATTTTTGATAATTTGGAAGGAATATTGTTATTTTTAATTATAAATGAATAAAATATAATTATTTATGGATTTTAATATATATAAAAAATAAAATCTTTATGCAGAAAATATAAAAAATAAAATTTCAGACCAGACCAGACAAGACTAAAACAAATTAGATCAGACCAGACCAGCAAATTACAGTCCAAGTAAAAACATACTAAATGGGCTAGTTGCATTTGCATCTATCCTGATACATGGCATATCTTAGACATTATTCCTACTAATGATTTTCAGATAGAGGTGATATATAGGGGTGGACCGGGTCTAGTTCGGGTCGGGATTGGGCGGTACTGGGGATTTGGGCTCAAGGCCCAATGCCGGTCTGGGTTTGAACCGGGACCGGGTCGAGCCCCGAGCCGGGTCAGGTCATTTAAAAAAAATAATCTTTTCTAATTTATTCCTACCCCCCAGACCCCGCCAAAACACCCAACCCAAACCACCTAGCAGCGACCCAATGCCAAAAACCCAAAAAAAGGACTCGGTCGGCCGGTCCGGTCCACTAAACCAAGGTCCCGAAGCCCGCCCCATTTTACCCCCGGTTCAGGTCCCAAAGCCCGATCCCGGCTGGCCGGGCCGGTACCGCACAATAGCGGTTCAGGCCGGGTACCGGGTCGGTCCGAACCGGCCCAGTCCATCCTTAGGTGATAACATACAAGTACATGTACAGACGTCCTATATTCGGTAGCTTGTGCAATGGGTTCATTATTGTCAGAAAATGAGTTCATAAGCTCACAACAATGTGATGAGCCACACCAATGTTGGTGGTGAGTTTTCTTATCCAAACGGCCTCTTTTGTTGACTTTGAATCAACAATGTATTCAACTTTTCTCACATTGTTGAAAATAGAAACTACAACCATTTAACACCAACAATTCTCAGGTGTGCGTCGTCAAATTGAAGAATGAATGAGAAGTCTCTGTACTGTGCATGCATTGGAAAAGTATACTCCATGTTCACTATATAGTAATATAGGACTAACATCTACCAAATCAAACCAGAATAGAAAAGTATAATTCAATTAAAAACATTCTTATTCCAAAAGGAGTGCTGTCTCTTATAACTAAAGAGTAAAGATCATTATTTATGTGGTGATTACACGGACTTGCCAAGTAGGGAACCAGACAGAAGGAAAATAACTCCGTGATAAATTTGACATCACCATAGTTGATAGATTTTCTTGACCGTGACCATTTCGCTGACCCCGTGATTTGTAGTCCTAAGTTTGGATCTTGTCACTATAAACATGTCCAGGACACACTCTTTGGCGCCTGATCTCTCTGTCGTGGGAGCAAACGGGTGGATCAGAAAACTGAACCAAGGCCGGATGAACATGCTTTCAAGAAGCCAATAGCCATATTATATTGCGCGGTAGTGGTGGTTTGCCCCATCAATTAGTATGCTGACAGGAATAGGTGAATAAGAGGGTTCCACAAGACCACAAACATGAAATTTTTCTGAGATATCCTGAATCCTGATAAACACAAACTACAAAGTAAATACAAGGGCATTCCATTAGCTATCTATTCCCATGCTACATGAATGCAAGTTTTAGAAATGCTTCCATGGCCAATTTGTTGCTCCTGTCCTGCCAGCACATATATAGAATTTAGGCACATTGTATCATACTTCGGTATAAATACAAATGCTAAAGAAAGTGGAGAATATAGAATCAACAGTTTCCCTAATTCTTTCCTGACTCAAGCTGTCAAGGACGGACTCACATGATTACTTCCATATATGAAGTAGTATATTTCTACTATCAGGCTCTTCTGAGGTTCTGATAGAACAAAGTTTTATCAATTACGGAGTATCTGTTTAAACAGGCAATCCGAGTAAATGTAAACTTAAAATAGATACTCCATCCGTCTCATTTAAGAGTTCTCACTTACCTCTTGCCTCTTCTGGACGTTCAAATCGAGGTTCTCATTCCATTTTAAATACAATTTTATCATCACATATCAAAATTAATACACCCGTAACAACACTATTATCATATATTACCCTATTATACAACATACTCACCCACTGGAATATCATCACGCCAACTAGTTCTCAAACTATACTGAAATATCTTTATTTAACCATTGCCTAATAAAAGCGTACCATTTCGAATTGGGAACCTGCAAAAGGGATGGGTGGAGTATCACTTTGAAGATAGATTTAGAATTACCATAAGTTTACTCTGAGACCAAAGAAGGAAAAAATTAGCTAACAGTGGGATAAGAAGACACATGAAGTAAGAATCATAAAATGAAATGAAATGAAATGAAATAAAATAAAAAGATATACCCGATATTAAGCTGGATCAATAACCAAATTCGGAAAAGCTATAACTTTCTCAGGCTCTCTAGATTCCAACCACAATGTAGCCGCGACTTTTGTCGTAAAAAACCAGCCAAGCTGTTGAGGATCTCTGTGAAATGGAGCATCTAGTCCCTTTAAATGAGACTCAAGTACATCTGCCAAACCATTGTTGGAGTACTTGTGTTTTCCATGCCCCGTATTGATCCCAAGCAATGATGGAAGTTCTTTACCATTTCTAATGTCTCTGTTCATGTCCTTCATCCAGACATGCAGAGCAGTTAGTGCTGCCCCACTTGACAGACTCTTGAGATTTAAATACCAGCAAGTAGATTCTTTAGATTGTATGTCGTTGTAGACTCCAAATTTTATTCCCAGGTCTAACAACTCACAGGCTTTTTCAAGTTGATTAAGGTTCACACAAATATCAATCAAGGAGTTGCAGAAAGCCTTTCTCACACCAGTGCTAATGTAATGAAAGAGTTCATTGGCTTCCTTCTTAAAAACAGTGCCATTGGCATTCTTTCCATCTACTAGGAGTTTCACAATGTAACCAAGCTTAGGCATGGCCTTCTCAAGGCATGCAGTCAATTTATGCATTTTTCCCTTAGGTGCCTGTTTCAAGACACTGAGAAGACAACCACACAGCCGTTCATCTGGTGTCACACCTAAATCTAAAAGATGATCAAAAGTCCTTACGACATCATCAAAACGATTAGCGTTCCCATAACATCGAACTAGTGATGTTAGGACAAAAATATCTGGCTCCAATCCTTCTTTTGTCATTTCATCTATAACAGCCTCTGCTTCTAAGAAATTCCCACTGCAAGAATATACTGTGATCAGAGATGAAAATGTCCAACGGTCTGGCTTGGATGTTTCACAACCCTTCATGTCATTATAAATTTCAAGAGCTTCATCTATTAATCCCAAATCGGCACACATTGCAAGCAGTGTGTTATATAGAACAGTATTCAATGGCATCCCTTTCTCCTTCATTTCTATATACACTTTAAGAGAATCCTCGCCATAACGAGCCTTACAATATGCTTGAATCAGTGCCGCATATGTGGCCCAGTTTGGCTGAAATCCAATTTGTATCATATCAATGTAGATATCTTTGGCCTTCCATGGCCTCTTAGCTCTTCCCATGGCACACAACAAGTGGTTATACACAGCCATGTCAGGCTTAATGCCAAGTCCCTTCATTTCTTCATACACATTCAAGCACCCATCGTAATTCCCAGAAGCACTATAAACCCTGATCAATGAGCAGAATGTCTTGGCATCAAAACGCATTTTCTTTTCTCTTGCATAGTCATACAAGTTCAACGCCTTATCCAAATTCCCAGACCTTCCATAAGAATCAATCATCGTTGTGTAAGTGATATCATCGGGTTGACACCCAAAAGCTGGCATCTTTTCAAACCACTCCACAGCTTTTTCCGGCAAGGAGCAGAACTTAGCACAGCTAATAATAGTGGAGAATGTAACATTGTCTGGCTTAACTCCTCTTTCAATCATTTCATCGAACAGTTTCTCTGCTTCACTCAAATATTTGTTTTTCTTTAGCACCTTCAGAGTTACATTGTACAAAATGAGCTGATTTGTCAGTTTAAGCCTTCTCAGGAAATAATTCAATGCCAGAAGAGCAGTATCAGGGTTTGACATATTGTTAAGAATATCTACAGCTTCATGTTGTTGTACTGCTTTGCCACTCAAGGCATCAAGTACAGCCATCACATCTTCTTCGACAGCTTTGCAGGAATCCAAGGAGTTCGAAATACTCATCAGTGAAGAGGACTTGAAATCATAAGAAGCCTCTTTTAGCTTAGAAGCCCTGGGACTGTCTGGATTGATCCAGATGTGGCTTTTCGAGGGACCCTTCGATGCCTGACCACTGTTTTGAATGGAGACTTGGGAAATCTGGAAGGACGTGGTTCTGCGGATCCTGAGGGAAAGAGGAAAGGGCTTCTGTTGGACAGGGAGTTGCAGAAAGTGACTACAATGGAGAGAGTTGCAGAATTGCTGGAATTCTTGATAGAAAAAAACTGCTGCAGTGCAATGGTAGTATGCCATTTCTCTCTCTCTCTCTCTCTCTCTCTCAGAATCTCTGATTATGATACAGGCCAGAGCTATGGAGGCTACCTTCATCAAGTTTACAGCATGGTTGGTTTGTGATTACGACTCAACCTTTTTGAGGCCGAAATTACTCCGGTGGATTAGTGTATTGTTTGGATGAAGTGTAAAGACTTGAGGATAGATATTCATATTTGGGCTGGACGCTTAGCTTAGTCTTGGACCAGCAAAGGTGGGATAGATTATTTCATATTGGACTAGAAGTCTAGACTCTAGAACGGTATTACTGATTGTGGTAATTACCCGTATTACGCCTGGGACCGGTTCGGTTCTTACTCAAAAATCGTGGAACCGTTATTTAAATTTTAACAAATGAAATCGGTTCGGTTCCTATATAAAAAATCAAGAACCGATATGGAACCGAACCAATACTAAACAGTTCAGTTGTTGCTTTTATCGGTTCCTAGAATAAATTTTTTCGTGTAAGAATTAACACATAGTTTAGCTTCTAGCACATGAAAACGTCAAAAAGTCAAAACAAGTCTTAAACATTTATTTAGAGTTCTAATCACTCCAAACATCAAAGCTCGGACTTAAGTGAACACTTAATAGAATAAAAAGAAGATTTTAATTTTCATTTAATACATAAAATATAAAAATCCTTCGTTATGTCGTTGAAATGAAGGTTGCTCATCATTATAGTGGCAATGATAGGACGTACACTTTATGCCTCTCAAAACCGAGAAATACATTGAATTTGCATGTACATCCTATTGATGGAACAAAACTTGATTTGTAAAAATGAGCTTAATGTATTCAACCTCATGTGCAAATATTTATTATTTTTGTTTTATAGATTAAACTAAATTAAAGTTATTGACTAAATATCATTCATTTATTATTATCCCAAAAGTGTTCCTATCCAGAGATTAATTTGTCCATCGTGATCTTCTCCAGGCCAGAAATAGTATCAGAAGAAACTCTTGGATAGTTATATGTAATAAATTGATATCATACGTTGAGTTATGAATTTACTGTGATGCTTTAATATGTATTTTTGTTTCTTTTTGTTGCAATCCAGGTGTTTCTTTTTGTTGCGTAATGTTGCTTTTTGTTGTATCTTGTTGCACCGTGTTGCTTATTGTTGTTTATTATCAGTTTTAATTTTGTTATTCATTTAGGTGTAAATGTATCTTTGCTACTGGTTCTGAAACAATCATGTGTGTGTGTAAACACCTAAAATGATAAATGTAGGTTTATGAATATGAACAACAACTAGAAACAAGGTGAAACAATAAAAAAAAGTTATCAACAAAAAGAAGCACAAGGAAACAATATTCTACAAAACTAACAATATTCTTTATTGTTAATTTTATTATTTATTTAGGTTTATATTTATCTTAGCAACTTCATTGGTGAAAACCCCATACTTACACACACACACACACAAACATATAAAATGATAAGTTTGAATTTTTAAATATCAACAACAACAAAACATGAAAAAACAATATTGATGGAGTATATGGGTCTAGGCCCCAGGACCCATATACTCAGAAGAACAGAAGGTGCAAGCCATCAAGTGATGCCCTCGTCGACCCAAGGATCCCCGTCGGTCGAAGAGGGACCAACTCAGAATATGATCCTGAAGCCAGGGAACTTGGGTGTCCCCGTCGGCCGTGCCCTCATCGGCCACGAAAGCCTCACAGAACTAGATTTTACACTTAATCATCTCTACACACATTGTATTCGGTCCAATAGCGGTCCAGTTGTAAATGGGCCTCCCAAACCCAAGGCTTGGGAGCCCAGCCCGTATTTTTCCTATAAATACTTCCTCTGGAGGTAGTTGTAGGGGTTACAAAATCATTCTGATGAAGCATTTACTTGCACTTCTCTCTCTAGCTCTCACTTCTCTCTAGATGTATACTCCATCATTTGGTGCTCTCGTTGAGAGCTAGAACAATCAAGTTAGCACCCTTCGTCGCTACCAAGCACAGCTAACCACTGATCATGGGAAGAACTAAGTCAAACCGCAACCTCGTCAGCAAGGCCATCCCTGAGGATCAGGAGAATAGGGAGCATGAGGAGGATGCCACGGCCGACCAGGTCGGAGGAGGGGACGTCTTCCAGGAGGCCATCAACCTCACGACGGACCTGCGCAACCAGCTCAACGGCGACGTCCCTGACGCCCGCATCGGCCTGGATAAGAAGCGCGCAGAGAAGACAGACAACGCTCCGGACCACCCTTTGGCCATGGCTTCTCCGTCTGTTGACCCACAGGTTCAGGCCGCACTATCGGTCATCATCGCCATCTTGGCTCAGAACCCCACCGTCCTCAGTGCACTCATGCCAAGGACAGGGGGGAACATCACTCCACCTCCTCAGCCCCAACTGTTGGCCGTCAAGCTAGGAAACGATGAGGGGGTGATAGCCCAGGACACGGCGTCGTCCCACTCCCACCCCATTTCCCCTCTTCGGCCCGGACAGACCCCAGTGCGTGGAAAAGCCTCTGTCTTCAATAGGTTGGGTGACACGCGTCGTCGTCCGGTTTCGTAGAGGATGGCGGGACGGATTGGTGAGCGCCGGTCTGGCTCGCCAAGGGAAAGCCTGGGGTCTGTGTCCCGGACAGCAGACCAGCCCCACCTGAACAAAGGCAAGGGAAAGTTGCACGAGGACGACATGCACCACCAGATCAACACGGCCCACGAGGTGCGCATGCAGAACCAACAGGGCGCCGCTGCGGCCGCCAAGGACCCTCGGGACGAGGTCATCACCCAGTTGGAAAGGAGACTGGCCCAGATGGAGGCCAAACAGTCGGCGAACATCCCCACGGCCGGTGCCTCCAACGATCATGGCCTCAATGCACTCATGAACAAGGTCAGCGCCCTTGAGAGGGAATTGGCCGAAGGACGAGGTGACCCCGTCATCCAGGTCAGGACCAGGACTCCCTTCACTAACAGGGTGCTCTCGGCTCCCATCCCGGAGAAGTACAGGGGAAATGCCATCAAATCCTATGACGGTCGATCAGACCCTCAGGAGCACTTTAGCCGCTACCAAAACAACATGCTGATGGTGAACGCGTCGGATGAATACCTCTGTCGTTGGTTCCTCTCCACCCTGGAGGGGCCGACGTACGAGTGGTTCAACGCGCTTCCCGAAGGAAGTATAGACTCATGGCAGGACCTTGCCCAGCGCTTCCTCACCCACTTTGCCGGGAGGAAGCGTGCGAAGAAGTGCTTCATCCATCTCCTCTCCGTCAAGCAGCAACATGACGAACCCCTCCGGTCATTCATTGATCGGTGGACGAGGGAGACCGAAGAGGTCGAGGGGGCCGATGAGCGCACCCTCCTCCTCCTCCTCTACCAGGGAGCCCTCCGCAGCTCCCCGTATGCCAGGAACCTCATCACTGACCCTCTGAGGTCGTATGCAAAGGCGCTTCAGCGCGGGAGTTTGTACGCCGATGCCGACGAGCTCCACAACCACAAGAAGGACGGAGGCCACCCCTCCAAGAAGACAAATCCTTCGCCGGCCCCGGGAACATCCCCGGCCGGCCAGGGTGCCCAGGGCCGTCACGGCTCTGGTGGACAAAGCAAGAAAGACCGCCATCGGCGGTCGAGGTTGGAACGGCTGGGGGTCCCCCTCACCCACCCGGTCAGCACCATCCTCGACTATGCCGAGAAGCATGGCCTCATTGAACAAGCTCCTCGGTCGGCGGAGGAGGCCCTTGCCATCCAGCAAGGCGGCACCTACTTCCGATTCCACAAGAACTCCTCACACAACACCGACGACTGCATCACATTGAAGAAAGCCATCGAGTGCCTGATTCGTCAGGGGGAACTCTCCCAATTTGCCAAGGGTGGCCCGCGCAAGAATACGTGGGCAAACACCGGCAAACCTGGGGGCGAATCCTCTACGAAGAAGCGGGAGATCGGTAGGCTCAGCGACGACGAAGATTTTGAGGAGCCTCTACTTAAGAAGAACCATATTCACCTCATCGTAGGTGGGAATACCGGGGGGGACTCCGTCACCCAGAGGAAGAAATGGACCCAATCCCTTTACATTGGGGAGGTGTCCCACGTTCACCCCCAGCCGAAGAAGCAACGAACGGAGGCGATCACCTTCACCGACAAGGATCTGCCTCCAGGTACGGAGTCACACAGGGACGCCCTCGTCATCCGGTGTGAGATCGGTGACTCCATCATCCACCGCACTTACATCGATACGGGGAGTTCCGTCCACGTGATGTACCTGGACACCTTCAAGCAACTGAAGCTGGACAAAGCTCTGCTGAAGCCGATCAAGACACTGTTGTTCGGTTTCACCGGGGACTATCGACGCCGAAGGCACGATAGTCCTCCCCGTTGAAGTCGGCGACGGCACCCACCGCGCCAAAATTGACATGGAGTTCATGGTGGTCAACCTTGAGTGCACCCACAACCTGATTTGGGGGCGGCCAGCACTGGAGGACCTGGAGGCCATCATCTCCATGAAACACTTATGCTTGAAGTTCCCCACCAGTTGCGGCATCGGCTACGCCAGAGGAAACCAGAGGATAGCCAGGGCATGCTACCTCAAGCTAACGAGGCCGGCCGAAAGGGAAGGCCAAAGGATAGACACCATCACGGCGACCGTTGCCAAGGACGAGGAGAGACCGCATGCTGAACTAGCCGAAGAGGTCGGGGAGGTCCCCCTGGATACTTCTCGGCCGGAGCGGGTCCTCAAAATCGGGAAGCAACTCCCACAGGACCAGCGAGACGCCATCCTCCTCGTCCTACGGTCATACGCCATCGTCTTCGCGTGGGGCCCGGACGACATGCCAGGCATCAGCCGGAAGGTGATCACCCACCGACTGACCTTCGATCCAGCCTCCGCACCTGTTAAGCAGAAGCAACGCTACTTGTCCACCGACAGGCGGGACTTCGTCAAAGGGGAGGTCACTATGCTCCTCTCAATCAGCCACATCAAGGAGGTGAAGTACCCGACGTGGCTAGCCAACATCGTCCTCACCCAAAAACCGCCAACATTCAGAATGTGTGTTGATTACACTGACCTGAACAAGGCATGCCCCATGGACCCGTTCCCTCTCCCCAACATTGATCAATTGGTGGACGAGACGGCGGGATGCGAGTTGATGTCGTTCAATGACGCC